AAAATCAGCTGCGACTAGCTATAACTTAGACCTAAAATTGATTTTAAAATTTCAAGATTTTAGGCTAATTTTATTCTTACTTTACAATGCATTGTGACGCGAAAAAAATTATTTGTCTATATATAATATATTTGTCTATAAGTTTATATGATACTATAGGATTATATGAAGACTAAATAGTTGATAATTGCAGCAATTTGATTGCAATTATGTTTCGAAAGTAATAAAATTATTTGAATAAACTAACACTCAATTATAGATATTTAAATTTTTTCTTGAAATAGCATTATTAAAACTCTTATCTCATAAATAGTCAAATTATCTTATAAAAATGTTTAATAACATAACTCGACTTAAAGTATTTGAAAAAATTGCAGACACTATTTCATCACAACTTACTTCAAGACAAATCATAGATCAGTATATTAGTATGCTCAAAAACGAATTAAATGTATCCATCAATTAAAATGATGATTTTAGTCGTTTTGAAAAAGCTCTTCTTGAATTTGTATGCAAATGCCGATCAAAACTTAGCAAAAAATATTTTCGAAATAAGAGAAAATTTTTAAGTGGAGAGTCATTTTGGCTTAACAATAAAATTTTGTCTTTAATTAATCAGCAACCTAGGGAACAATCATCACAAACCGTCGATTTTAATGTTTCTTGTTTAAATGAACAGTCATTTGGGAGACCATGCAAAAAATACGAAGATATGTCCTAACGAAGCAAACGTCGTCACGCATTCGTATTGTTAGTAAATCATGATCATGATAAAATTTTACGAGCAGCAGAAATGGTGTTAAAAAAGAAAAAGCGATATAGTTTGCTGTACGTATTAAAAGAATGTTTATTAAATGTTGATTCGGCAAATGAAATAAATTGTTTTATTCAGGACAAAAACAAGCAAATCGCACCTAATACGTCACTAGAGGGATTAGCATTAATAACAGCTATGAATTTATCGAAAACGAAATATTAAGTTATGCGAACTCAATTAAATGTAATGCGAATATATATCCTACATATAACAACATTTGCAACAAAAAAATGTGTTATCCTGATGGTATTTATATAGCTGAAAATGGAATGAGAGGCGAAGTTCCATTGAAAGAATTGTTATACCATACAGTTTATCGAATGTTGCAAATAACTACTGCTAAAAACAGAATTTCACAACTTGACTTCCTTGAATCCTGTTCAGGAATGACTATGTATTGCAAATGGGGCTTCGATGGTGTAAGTAGCCAAAAACAGTATAAACAAAAATTTTACGCCCAAATAAACAACAACGATGAATGTAATGTTTTAATGTCTGATCAAAACTTGTTTTCTGCTTGCCTAGTGCCACCTAAGTTATCGTATGGTGTTATGACAATTTGGGAAAATCAAGTGCCTTCTTCAACGCGATTCTGCCGCCCACTTTAGTTTTAAGAGAAGAAAGATAATACTTTGACAAGCAAATCGATTTGCTTGAGGAGAGTACAATGATTATTGATGTAGAAATAATGGAAGCTGAAAAAAAGCTTGTAATTGAAGCAAGCTTCAATCTTAAGCTTACAATGATTGATGAAAAAGCAGTAAATGCAATTTGTGACAATTAATCGGCTCAAATTTGTAATATTTGCAAATGTACTCCTAGATAAATGAACAATTTAGATAAAGCTCTGATCCGTTCAACGGATTCGCAAAGCTTAGAGTTTGGGTTATCTTCATTACATGCATGGATTCGATGTTTCGAGTGTATTCTACATATAAGTTATAGACTTGATATTAAAGAATGGCAAATACGTGGACCTGAAAATATAAAATTAGCAGCTGTAAAAAAAAAGTTTGTTCAGCGTGAGTTTGAAAAATTTGGCCTTATTGTTGACATGCCTCTTCAAGGCGGATCTGGGACATCAAATGATGGCAATACTGCTCATCGTGCTTTTCTTCAGCACGCAGAGTTTTCGCGAATAACAGGAGTCAATAAAGATTTAATCTACAGGCTATACATATATCTGTCATTAATTTAAATAAAAAAATTAACATAGCCAAATATGAAACATATTGTTTCTGCAAATATTTTTGTTTGAGAGTACTCATGGTTTTACATGCCAGCCTCTGTATACAAACTACTCATTCATAGTAGTCTGACAATAACTAGATTTATGCTACCAATTGGAATTTACTCTGAAGAAGCAATCGAAGCTCTGAATAAAGACAATAAAAATATTTGTTTACAACACACTTGTAAATTTGATCAAAAAGCTACAATGACGGATCAATTCAATTACTTAATGCTATTGAGTGACCCAATATTTTCATCTCTAAACTATGCAAGATCGAAATGTAAATATAAAAAAATGAATCTAGATGGAGACGCAGTTGATCTTCTTTTTCAAGAAACTGAAAAAGAAAATACAAATGATGCTAATGATGATATTTATGCGGATGAAGAATATAATGAGTTGGATGAGGATGATGATTTTGATGACAGAAATGAGGAACTAAAACTAATAAACATAAATGAAATAAGAAATATAAATGAGCACAATGACATTATTGAATTATCTGAAAATGAAAACACTGATTTGCTATTTTATTACTATGCTGACTTGGATAATACTGACTAAGATTTTTACCATTTAATTTCAGCAAAAATATTATGTGCACTAATATGTAAAATAGGAATAAAGTTTTAACCTTGAGCTAATAAAAATTCTAACTTTTAAATGAATATTTTATATTAACAATATAAAATATAATTATTGTAATTCACTAGAAGTTTATATGAAGGATGTTAATGACTAATAGTTTAATTATTTTTTAACCTTTACAGTATGTGCAAGTGCCTAACTTCAATTTTCTTACAGTTTCTACATTAATTTTTTATACTTAAGGTTTTTTAAAGTTTTTTATCAAATTGCTGCAACTATCAACTATTTAGTCTTCATATAATCCTATAGTATCATATAAACTTATAGACAAATATATAACATATAGACAAATAATTTTTTTCACGTCACAATGCATTGTAAAGTAAGAATAAAATTAGCCTAAAATCTTGAAATTTTAAAATCAATTTTAGGTATAAGTTGTAGCTAGTCGCAGCTGATTTTATTTAATAGTATTAAACAACCATTATACTTCCTAAATATCATTAATTCCAATTTTAATATAGCGGCATTTGGTTGGAATCAAATACTTAAATATTTGATTTTTACGTATTTATAGTGAAATGATTTTCTTTTTTTTCATTTTTAGAAAACAATAAAATAATAAAAAAAAGTTTATTATAAACAAAAACGGTTTGATGTGTTTAATAAAAAAAAAAAAAAAAAAGAAAAAATATATTCCTTAAACAAATATCTTAACTTTAAATTGGTCTTCTTATAAAAGCAAAAAAAGTTGTCGATTTTGAACTTATAAATATATCATAAAGAAAACATGGTCGCAGCTGGGTTTTTTTTTGAACAATAACTGCCGTTTAGTAAATGCAAAAATCAGAAAATCAAATAATCTTCGAGTGGCATTTAGAAAAAGGAAGACGAGGAAATTTAGAAAAACCCCTTTAAAATACCAACAATTCTAAGACATATTATGAATAAATTAAATACAAATAAATAACTAAAACATTTACTTTTTATTAACACTAAGTTAATATGTTTACTTAAAATAAAAAAAGTCCAAAGCTTTTTTAATTGAAAAAAGTTATGTAAATTTTGAGGATAAGTATTTTTGAAAAAAAAATTAGCCATAATGAATGGTTCTAGCAAGCTTGCTTTCATCTCTAGTAATTAAAGGGATACATTTTTGAGTAGAGTAAAGCACTTATGTTTCAATAATAAAATAAAAAAAAAGTTTAGAAGATTTGACTTTTTTGGGACTTTTGGCCACGGAAAAAAAATTCTGGCCCACTGTGCTTTAGGACTTCTTGGGGCACCTAAATAAAAATTAAAAAAAAAAAAGCATTAAATCATTTTTTGGATTGTCCAATGGTTTCCATTTTTGGATAGTACAATGCCTTGAATTTTGGAAAAGCTATGAAAAAAATGCAAATTCCAAGGATGTTTCATCTTAATTAAAACAAGTTTTAAAACTGTTAAAAATGCTCAGTACGTAGTCAGGATGAAAAAGATTGTAAGACATTTTTCCTATAACTAACAAAATCTGAAGTTAGTGAACAAATTAGTGAAAAATAACATTTTCGAAATGCTTATTGGATTAAAAAAAAACATACAACTATTTTACCAGTAAAATTAAATCTGCAAAGTCTTGAACAACCTATAAATTTTTGAGACAAAAACTTTTTTTCAAAATTGCTAATAGCCCTTCCTTTTTTCTACTTTTTATCTGGCATTCTGTAAATGCTTCTTTTGATTTCATAATCCCTTTTTCTTACATTACTACAACCAATAATTACTTTGCATATTTCCAATTTTATTGCAATTTAAATAACTCTTCTGTGCGAAAAATTTAATACTTTTTTTTTTTTCAACATTGCCAGCAAAATACACATGAGCAAAATAATTTAAACATTCAAACTTCTCTATATACATATGTTTTATATAAAAATATGCATTACATTCATATTTATATGTATGTATATACAAATATGCATACTTATATGCAAATATATATTATAACACAGAAAGTTAAAAACACAGAAATTTGTAAAAACTTAAATTAAAATCATAATCATAATGTTAAATTAATAAACAAAAAATTTTTTACTTATAAAAAAATAATAAATAAAATGGGCAAATAAGAAATCAATAAAAGATGATTTTCAAAAATTGTATAAAATGTTTTGAAGTTTTCTTCTTTTCTAACATTAAAAAAGAAGTTTTGTCTTTTATGAACCTGTCATATTAAAATGTTTGCATCATAATCAATTTTTCAGTATTTTTTATTAATGGTTATATATATATTGAGAGTTCTTCAAATAAAAGTATACAACTCTAAAAATTTTTTAACTGATAAAAAACATAAATAGACATAAAAAATAATATGCAAACCTCTCTACATCCACGTATCATAAACTCTTTCACTGTACGGATATCATCTATCAAAATGTTCATGCATCTCAGCTTATCACTAAAGCCAGCTAAAATAAACAGACCAGTGGGATGCAAAGCCACACTCATTACATCATCCTCAAACTCTTTGTATAATTCAAGTGAACTAAATTAAAATAAACACTTTATTGTTCAAAACATAAAAAAATTTAAAATCAAAAGATGTTCATGGAAACACTTGTTACATAAGTTACAATGCCTTTTATTTTAAGCTTGATTTGTACAAATATTGTATTGAGAAAAACACAAAAAATAAAAAATTGGGCAAATGGAGTTAAATTTATAAAATTAAAATAAAATATATGAACAGTTATAAAAAATGTTGTTATAGATATTACATGGTTATTAACAACTTATAAGTAAATGTTTAACTGTAAATACAACAAAGAAAAGTTGCTTTTTGCAGATTATTGAGCTTTCAAATAAAAAAAAACAACAAAATACAATAAGTAATTTAAATGTGTTTTCATGAAAAAAAAACTTATATGGTGTACTTATTAAGTATTACCAGATATCATTGTATAATCTTATTTAAAACCAAATAAAACCAAATTTATTTAAAAAAGTAAATTATTAAAAAAAAAAAAAAAGCTGTAATTAATGGTATAAATAAACTTTACATAAATTTTAAAATATTTCAATCACAAACTTTTTATTAAATCAAATTTAATAAAAAATGTTTATTTTTTCCTAATAAAACATTTTATCTACTTTTATTTTTATCTGCTTTTATTTTTATCTACTTTGCTTTTTTCACATAAGTTTATGAACTATAATTAAAGATAATTGAATGAACAGCATTTTAACAAGACAAAAAAAGATGCAATTTTTCTAAATTTGGGATAATGTTTTTTTTTTAGTTTTGAATTTATAAATGCAAAGAGGATAATATTTTAATTAAATTTAAAAAAACTGTATATTTAAAATAGATAGACCTAATAAAATATTTTCAATATCTTTTCAAGAATCTTACATTATAATCTAAATTTTTGCTACATTTTTTGCAGTTTCTACATTCTCATCATCAAATATATCATCAATTTAACGTGGTTCCCTCATTAATAACTCAAATTCTTTGTCATATACTTAATGCAAATCCAACAGTATTAAAAGCAAGTGTTAATTAGATATCATCAATCTAATTAACAAACAATATAACAAAAATGTTGTTTAAGTTCAGAATGTTTCTTGCACAAATAACTAACAACAACATTTAACCTATTTATTCTATAAAGTCTAAAGGATTAACATTTAAACAGAAAAAAAATTAATAAAATACTTGTTTTGAAAGTTCCAGATTCTTATGCTTTTATCCATTCCACATGTGGCAATAAGTGGTTTTCTTATACAAACATCCATTCCAGTAATTTGTGCTTGGTGAAATGACTGGGCTAAGAGCTCGAATTCAATTGCTTCATCTTGCTACATTATTATATTAAATATTACAAACAAGTTTATTTTATCAATGACTAACTCAAAAATACAAAAAAATTGTAAATAAAAAAATAAAAGATTAGACTAACCTTTCCCAAATCTGCAGAAGATAAAGTAATTGCATAAAGCTGGTTTTTGCAAGAACTGGCCAATAAAGTTTCTTCAGATGGACTTAATGCAATACAACTTATAAGATCATCACTTAATTCATGATTTGATTGGTTGAGAGGTATTTTAATTTCTTTTGTTTTCTTAAATATTTCTTTGTCATCAGAACTTTCAAATACATAAACTCCCAACCCACCAGAACATACAAACCCTAAAATGAAATGATTTTTTTCTTTAATTTTTTGGGATATTAGGCCCTTCAATTTCAATTCAAACTGATAAACTAAAAACTCTCACATAATAATATGTGTTTGTTATTTGTTTTTGATTTCTTAGTGTTTAATAAGATATATTATGCATAAGGCAAGAAAACATTTGTAAATATGTGTTAAACATTTCTTTTCACAATATTAGTTCACTATAGTGGAATAGTGAATAGTGAAAACTTGATGGGCTATTGTGCTTTGATGATTTGATGCTTTACATGAAGCTAATAGTTTAGACTTCTCTTATGCCCAATACAGTAACATTAAAAAGGATTTTATAGTGTTTAATCAAGTTTGATTTTAAAACAAACTTTTTTTTACAAACTTCAAAAACTTGTAATTTTGTAAATTGCAATTTAAAAAAAAATTAAAAACTTGTACTTTTAATGAAGTAAACTTCAGTTTTATCTATAAATTCAAACAATTAAACATGACTAAAAAATGAACCATAAAAATTATCATTGATATTAAATAAATTTATAAATTTGCTTAAGTTACTTACAGTACCTTTAGAATATGTGATTATGCAGCTTATAGTTAAGTCTGTTCCTTTTTTTACTGGTTCTAAAGTGTTGCTTTCTAAACTTCTGCCAAAAAAAATATAAATAAATAAAAGAAAAACATCAAAAGGGTTATCAATCAAAATCAACCAAAAAACTATTAACATTTTACCCAATATTAGTCTTAGAAACTGTTTGTGTTACGGATGAATTATCATTTTTTAAAATAATAAATTCACCCTTCAAATCTCCATTATCAAAAAGTAAAACTTTTCCAGAATCTGTTCCAATTAAAAGTTGTTCATCATTTAACCATGCTTGACAAGTATAATTACAGCTGGCATCTGATTTTTGATTACCAAATTGTTTCAAATTATTCTCAATAAATCGAAAGATTTTAAATACACAATGACCAATAACACAAACTTGCTCATTGTCTTTTGGATTAAATGTAACCTGAAATCAGTTACTTGAAACATTAATAAATATTAACTATTGTATTAATTAGTTTAACTATATACAGCTTTCATCTTCTGTCCATTTATTAAAATTTAATATAAGAACTGCATAACATATTGGTCTTAGAATAAATGCTCTAATTTGCAGCAAGAAAATAAAATATCATTCATATTAATATAATAACTTATTGATGTTTTTAACAACATATAATAATATAACTGGCTGCTGTTAATATATATATATATATATATATATATATATATATATATATATATATATATATATATATATATATATATATATATATATATATATATATATACTACATATATATATATATATATATATATATATATATATACATACATATATATATATATACATATATATATATATATATATATATATATATATATATATATATATATATATATATATATATATATATATATACATATAAATATATATATATATATATATATATATATATATATATATATATATATATATATATATATATATTTATATATGTGTGTGCATGTGTGTGTGGATATATACAAGTATATATAAATGGCACATTTATAAATTTATCAATTCAAGTTGAACTGGCAAAACTAGATCAGGTGCTGAAAATGATATGATAAATGTGTAAAACAAAGAAAATACAATCCATTGAACAAAGTTTTTGACATCAGAAAAAAAGATGGTGAATGGCTCTGCAGTGAGGACAAAAGATTGCATCATCTTCAGATTAAAAGCAAAAAAGATTTCAAATATAAAACTGCAAAGGTTGCTAGTTCAAAAACAATCCATCCATCTAAAAGCAAAAAAATATCCTTGAAGCCTACTTTAACAGTAGTAACGGCAACAGCAACAACATTAACTCTTGAATCAAAGTCTGAGGCAGAATATAAAGAGTTATAAAGATTCAGAAGAACAGTCCAAAAGAGCAAGAACTAAAGCAAAACCAAAACTGCAACCAAATTAGTTATATCTTTATCATATTCAGACACCTATACAGCCTGGTATATTTGGATCAACTAAGAACTAGAACTAGAATTTGTTAAACTTGATGAAGAAATAAAGAAAACACTTGAAAAGCTGGTCACTGCACTTTGATGGTAAACGTATAAGTTACAAGCACTAGATCTATCAGACAAAAAAGCAGATACTTTTGTAAAATCTATAAAAGCCTTAAACACAATTTATGGAAGAGTATAAGGTGATTGAGCAAGCGCTATCAATAAAAAAATACTGTATCAATGCTGGATGAAGAATTGTTAATCGGTTACAAAGACATTTTGCTGAAAAGTAACTGGAAGAACCACAATTGGTTGTTATCATCATGTTCTTGACTGAGTTCTTTGCGTAGATGAAGAACTCGGAGGAAGCAACATGCCACTTAATATCAAATATCTGTTTATCTTGGAAATTGTAAAGAGCTTCGGAAAAATTTCAAGAATTGTTTATTATGCTTTAAGCTGACACAACACTTTTTTGATAAATAGCTTTTTGTAGTAGTAAAATTGTAATTTTATATTTAATTTTTATTTAGAGTGATGTTGTTGTGTTTAATTTAAAGATGTAATACTGAACTGTTAAATGCTTTAAAACTGTGTAATAATTTTATCAATTAGAAAAAGTTAGAAATAAAAAATAAGGATCATAAAATTGTTTAAAATTTTATTCAATGCATATATGGCAACTTTGAACTTTTGGTTTGAGGATGACTTTTTTCTATAAGAAAATCGAATTAATGTTTTTTTACAAATGTACAAATTGTTGAATAATTTTTTTACTTATTGGTGGTAAACATATTTCAAGTTATATATATATATATATATATATATATATATATATATATATATATATATATATATATATATATATATATATATATATATATATATATATATATTCATTTTATAAATTTATACCTGATGGGCTACTGCACTTTGATGATTTGATGCTTTACATGAAGCTAATAGTTTAGACTTCTCCCATGCCCAATAAAGTAACATTAAATCAGGGCGACCTCCTTGCACAATCAAATTTTTTGAATCAGGTGAAAAAGCAAGACATACAAATTCAATAGATGTGTTATCAGGAGAAGAAAGAACTTTTTTCTTTTTTAAGGAATGCAAATCATATATAGATACAACAGCTTTTTCACCTTTCTCACCAATAGCAACATACCTTTTGTTTGGACTAACAGCAATTGCAGTCATTCCGATATTTCCCTCGGTGCCCGCAATAAATCTCTGAGTTCTTTGATCAATGTTGTACAAAATACAGTTACACCCTGCTGGATATATTATAACATGCTCGTCGATATATGCTATATTATTAGATACGCCTACTCTTAAACCAAAAGCATATCTAGGAGAAGCTAACGCAATAGACATGACTAATTTGAATTAAATTTAAGCACAACTCAAAATTTCCTAAATTTAGGTGATAAAAATGTATTTTAAATATAAATTGCTCTTTTCTCGCTCTATTTTTGAAATAGCGGACCTTTCGGCGCTACGTTGCCAATGGTGTTGTTTATTTTACGAACCTCGAATTGATTTTAGTTTTAAAGTACTTTAGGCATGGCAAAATTTAGTGATTTGCAGCGTACCCGGCTAGGATCCGGCATAACTATTATTTGGAGTACCAGAGAAAACGCCGGAATATTTCAAATCTGTCTAGCACAGGAATTTTTACTTTCTGGATGCCCAGGAAAACTGCTGTAATAGAGGTTTTGTAAAAACCGCTACAAAACTGCAACTGAATCCGAGTACCCTGAGTACACATATCTGGTTTAAATTGAAAACTGAAAAAATGAAGACAACTGAATAAGGTATAACGAGACAGCAGAAGCCCTACATATTAGCTTAAGACAAATTATTTATTAAATTTATTTTTTCTAATAAAACATTCAAATTAGTTGTAGTTTATTCAGTAGCGCAGTGACAAAAAATGAGCTGCTCCTCAAAATTTTAATCCATACCCCTAATTTACTTCTCAGTTTTAAATATTTTAAAAATTTTAATCCATACCCCTAATTTACTTCTCAGTCCCCTCCCCTTCCCCCTGCTTGACTAAAATTATGCATGAAATTAAAAACTTTATTCTTAAATAGAATTTAATGAAATAGAAACCAGTATGTTACACTTTGTAAGTCTAGTAAATAGAAAGTAGTTTTTTTCTTGCCTTCATAACTGTAAATTAGTCTACCATACCTCCTTAATTTAATTGAGCTGCTATTTCTGCTTCAATAGCTATTAGATTTAGCTCAGACAAAACATTTTGCGTCATCATTGCCTTTAAATGTGTTTTAATTCTAATGCGGGTATTTTTCCAGTAACTATGCTAACGAATAATGTCAAATATAGCATAAGTGCTGAAATTATATTTATGAATGAGCAACTTGCATCACAATATGTTATTGTGGGCTTGGGTAAACAATGGAAGTTTTTAACGTGCGAGAATAAAGTGCGGAAAATTTCTATAACCCTAAGCCTATAGCTCCCCCAACCCAGATCCTCAGTCAATGAAGCATCACTCTTTTATTTGTACATTCCCAATTGTTTGCCTAAGTTTCTTGTTTTACATAAAATATAATATACATTATAAACAAAAAGAGACTTAAAGAAGGCACGGATGATAAGATGATAATATTACCTCAACTTTTTCATTGAGTCTCTTCGACAACCTTTTTTAAAAAAGTTACATTTAGTATAACTGTTTTTTGATATAACAGGATTTAATATATATATATATATATATATATATATATATATATATATATATATATATATATATATATATATATATATATATATATATATATATATATATATATATATATATATATATATATATATATATATATATTGTTGTTGTATGATTTAGTATTAAAAATACTAAACTCTTGATCGTTGTAGAGTGCTCAATATTTAAGAAATATTTAGTTTTTCAAAAACAGAGCGTTTTATACTTAAATATAGAAAAAACAACTTTTAATGGAACTTAAAGTTTCATGCCTATCGGCAATCATCAGCAAATATCGAGCTAAGATTGTCCGCCAACTCATCAAGTGAAGTTATTTTTAATAAGTCGACACATCTTTATGAAGACGCGCTAAAGCAATCGGGATATGATTGTAAGTTGGCATATAAACCAAGTATAACAATTGTTCCAAAAAATCACCACAAACGAAGTATAATCTGGTACAACCCTCCATTTAGTAAAAATATTACAACCAAAATTGGTCAACGCTTTTTAACCCTAATTGACAAGCATTTTCTTAAAGACCACAACCTACACAAAATATTTAACAGAAACACTATTAAAATAAGCTACTCCTGCATGCCAAACATTAAATCTATCATCAACTCACACAACAAAAATATTATATATGGTGATGTAAAGTTATCAGAAAAAACCTGCAATTGCATTAAAAAATTTACTGAACAACAATTGCTTGTCTAACAACATTGTTTACCAAGCCACCGTAAGCTCAAATAAACCTCAATACAAAGATAAGGTATACATTGGGATAAGCGAAACCTCTTTTAAACTACGTTATGCAAACCATCTAAAATCCTTCAACATAAAAAAAAGTACAAGAACGACACTGAGTTATCTAAGGAAGTATGGGATTTAAAAGATAACAATTTTACATTTTCAATCAAATGGAATATAATTAAACGCTGTATCATACAATCCTGCGTCAAAAATTTGTAAGCTTTGTTTAAATGAGAAATTTAAAATATTATTTTACAAAGGAGATAATCTGCTAAATAAAAGAGGCGAAGTAGTTTCGAAATGTAGACATAAAAATAAATTTCTTCTTTCATTATTTGATAGCGGAGATTAGTTTTCCATTACGTCTTCTTGTACTAAGACGTCAGAACTCATTCTACTGTAGTTTGTAATTTTTAGACGGTTTTTTATATTTTTGATTTTGTACTTTATGGCTGATGATTGCCGATAGGCATGAAACTTTAAGTTCCATTAAAAGTTGTTTTTTCTATATTTAAGTATATATATATATATATATATATATATATATATATATATATATATATATATATATATATATATATATATATATATATATATATATATATATATATATATATATATATATATATATATAATATTAAGGTGGCTTACCCCCATTAAATCTAACTTTTTGTTTTTAAAGGTTCTAAACTTGTTTTTTATTTTTTATATAAGGAAATTGTATTAAAAATTTAACTTTTCAAAATAAAAATGAAATTTGCATTTTTTGATGCTGAGTCAGCATAATTTGTCCAAAATCTTACCTTATCTAAAACAATGATATCTTGAGTAAAATTTGCACTTATTACACTATATTTTGCCAAATGGTAGCTAAATAATTGCTTTAGGGCTGGAACTAAAATTTTTTCCAAATGTGGAAAAAAACTAAAATGGCAGCAATAAATGTGCAAAAACTAATTAATCGCCAGTGTCAGTCTAACAAACTATATTGAAAATAACTTATTTATACTTGAAATATTACAATTTTAGTTCCAGCCCTCATAAATAAGTTAATACACATACTGTGAAAATTTGAAGATAAAAGCTTTAACCAAACTGAAGATATTAATGTTTTTGTAAGAAAACCGTATAAAAATAAGAAAGTCCTAAAAAACACATTTAAAAATAAAACAATGTAAAAAAGAAAAGTGTTTTTGTGAAAAGTTACTAAAAACTGCCACTAGCATAAAAGTTTACATCTTCATTCTCTTTCTCAATGTCTAAATAACCTTTTTTTCTAGATCTTAAATGTTTTCTTCGTTTTTTATTTATGTCAGTCGATTTTCTTGACATACTTGATAGTCGCTTTTTATCTTTTTTGAAAGCTCCTTTTTCGAAATAAATACCTCCAGTAAACCCAAGCATTTTAAAAATATACCTTAAAGAAGTAAATCCATCATTGTAATTTAAAATAGCAGAATAAACAGCTATTTCAAGAATTTTTCTTGCAGTAAAAGTAGCTTTAGGGCATCTCTGCCATATGAAACCATTAAATGACTCATTGCAGTTTTGTGTCATTCCATGTAAACACTTTCTTAGCATTTCAGGGTTTGACAGTTCTTGAAAAATAGGTTTAATTTCCTCCATAATTGTAACAGGTAAGTTAATTTTTTGTCTATAACTTGTTTTACCTTTAACTTTATCTGATTGCCCTTTGCACCAGCTGTTTTTCCTTTTTAAACAAAATTGATGACGAGTAACTTCATAAGGAAAATTTGTACAATGGTAAAGTACAGCTATTACAGAATTTCTCATACACAGTAGATCATTTTTATTTTGTCTTATAGCCATTCCAACAAAGTTCTGCATTGTGTTAATAAATTTATTGGTTAATCTTCCTTTTCCCGATATTTTTAGGCCATCACTTAACAACCTGCCTTTAAAGTCTTTAATTTTTTGACGCAAACGAGAGCCTACTCTTTTTTTCACTCTAGTTTTTCAATAATACTCTAGTTTTTCAATCACACTCTAGTTTTTCAATAATACAATCACCATATGGTTTACTTTTAACAACATTAGAAAATGAACTTGAGTCACCGTCTCCAAGGTATTTAGTATATCTTAAATTATACTTTTGTATAGACGAATGAAATATTTCTTGAGCTCCAGCAGCTTCCATTGACCCTGCTGAGCTAAAATGATTAACCTGGCAATTATGTGTAGCTTTCCAACATTCAAAATCAATTGGATTGTTTATTCTTTTATGTACTTCACACTGCATACAAAACTTAGATAAAGAAAAAACATCAATCACCTTTTTATTTTCATGTGAAAGACCAGCAACAACACCATTTAGGGAAGAATATCCACGACGTTGCCATGTTCCGTCTATTGATATGCCACAGTCAATAATTTCATCATCAGAAGTATTTGCATTTTAAATTTCTCTTAGTTCTGATACAGCAGCTTTCATACTCTGTAAACTAATTTCCTTATAAACTTTATGTAATTTATTGTTTGTAAGATTATAACTGTGATTCGTAAGAGGTGGAGGCATATTCATTATAGCAGTAAAAGTAGACATAGCTTCATTACCACGTCTAATTTCACGAAATGCCATAACAGCTCGTAAATTTATTTCATATGGGTTTGAACCAGGTTTTGAACTTTGATTTATAGTTGGAGATGAATAAAATGTACTTTCAAAGCCACAGTTTGAACATTGTATTATAATTCCAATAGAAAATCCCATACGTACAGATTTATTATGCAAAAAAGTTAGCTTGCTATTACACTCACTGCATGTAGAATACAGTTCAAATATATTTTTAATAACTCTAAAGTTACATATAAAAAAAAAATTGTCGACTTCAGAATCACAATTCGTTGCACCATTAAAGTTATGTTTATTCTTAAGCATTGATGCACTTGTTGTTTCTGATTTCCTGCTACAATCAACTACATCCTTTTCTTTCCTTGAATATCTATTTCCTTGATATTTTCTCTTTAAACTTCTAACTTTATTTCTTTT